TTGCTGAAATTTTGAACGAAATTTTCGATTGGACGGACGGCAAGCACGCCTGCTTCTCCTTGTAGTCCTTTCCCTGTTTATCTCCGGATGTTGTAATTTTATACTTAAAGATTTCTGTTTCGCTTCATGTCTGCATAATTTGTTATCACATTAAATACACAACGCAATAATAAGTACATTGTTCTCGCTTTCGACCTTTTCTTACTTTAGCTGAACATTACTCTCACATGGGAGGCTGACAGCTCCCTATACGGGAAAAACTGACTATCCACCCGCAGCACTTGCAGATTTAATTGCCCTCATACATCCTTTCTAATTATTTTACAGAGTGCTTTGTTATTTTGTTAAGTAAATTAAAAGATTAGATAAGAAAGAAACTCGGATAAGCTTTGTTGATAGACCTTGGCACGTAAGCAAGTCATCTTCAAAGGATGCGCTTCGATTGCAAAAGCTCTTTGGTAAGAAGATTAAGACGCAAACCGATGCGTCATTTGACCCTTTGCGTACACATTGTTAAATCAGGAGCGAGCTTTCGGGTATGGCACTAAATTCTCATCGTTTTTTGGCCTGAGTGAATTGATCTTGGTCTTCAGATGGTGTAAGAGAAGCGGCGAGCGCGGCGCCCGAGCGTGGGAACTTAACTAGGAAAAACATCCCGAGCGCCTACAAAACCGACAAATGGACATGAGCCGTAGGGCGAATTTCAAACAGAAGTATGAAGGGTGTGCTCTGAAAAGGAGGTTTCTTTTTTAATCCTTCCGCCACCTCGTGCGCTCGTCTCAATTTATCAAATGCCATCGCGAAGGGTTGAAGGGGCCACCTTCGCCTACGTTGATCTGGCGACACGTCTAATTAAAAGAACAAGAAGTTGAGGGGAAAGACCTTGCTCGCCTTTGATCAGTGCCTCAACGAACATCTCCTAATTTGCCTCTGCCGGTTTCCGTATCGGTAGCCTGGTGCAATTTCTTCGCCGTAGAAGTTGATATTGTCTCTTGGAAGGATACGTCGAATTGCTGCGGATCCCACGGTATACAGATCCGCAAGCAGGGGGCGAATTTGTGTCCCAGGCAGTAATCCCATCTCTCCTTGAGGAAAGAAAGAAGCAGCTTGCTGTGCTAAGCTTTGATCGAAGGCTTACCAAAGGGCATCTTTTTTTTTAAAGGGATGTTTTTTTCTTCGAGAAGTCTTGCCTTCCTGCTCTGGGTGTACACGTACTCACAGGCATCTATTGCTCGGTTCAGCATGCGTTCTTAAGAATAGTTCTTGTAGGCTGCGGGAAATAAAGCCTTCCGTCCTGTGTCCCTGTCCTTCTCACTGTCCCCTTTTCACTTTTTTCAGCGCTTTCGATTAAAATGAAGTTCGCCTCCCTCCTGTCTTTGCTTGCGGCCCCCCTCCTGGCCTCTGCTTTCCTTGCTCCGGCCCCCAAGGTAAGTCCGTACGACAAGCAGAGCTGGCCAGGCCCTGGTTGCAAAGCTCCGACCTGGATGGCGGAGTTTTCTCTTCAAGCTTCTAAGCCCTATCCTTTTTCCTGGGTATTGCCATATCCTTCCTCTTACGTCCAGACTACTCGCGCCCGCGGTGTGGTCTCCATGGTCCAATCCAAAGCTCTGCCTTTCTTGGCTGCCCCGAAGAAGCTAGATGGTTCCCTGGTCGGCGACTTTGGCTTCGACCCCATGGGGATCTCGGATCAGGTAAGCTTGTTGCCGTCCAGGAGTGTAGACTAAGCAAAGGCGATCAATTGAAGAGGGAGAGGCCCCCTGAACGAGGGAGACGGTCCTTCGACCCGTCCTGGCCCTCGTCTCGCCTGGTCACCGCCCCCTTGGCTTCATATTTTTTTTCCTCTCCCCACTTAGGTGGCAAATTTGAAGTACGTACGCGCGGCCGAGCTTAAACACGGGCGGGTGGCCATGCTTGGTTTCCTAGGCTGGGTCGTGACGCAATTCGTCCACCTCCCGGGGGAGATCTACGCGGAATCCAACCCGCTGAAGGCGATCGCCGCCGTGCCCCTCATCAGCCACGTGCAAATCTTTCTCTTCATCGCTGCCATCGAGCTGGCGACCCTGGATAGGACGTACACGGCGGACAAGCCTTGGGACCTGGGCTTCGACCCCATGAACATGAGCAAGGTGAGGAGTCGAGACGGGGGGGGAAGGAGAAGCACCGCAACGCGACAATAAAAAAAGAGAAGTAGGAGGAAGCTGTCTGGGGGAAGCGTGGAAAGCAGAGGAAATGGAGGCTGGGTGGTCGGGCAAACGAAGAGGAGATGGTCTCGATCCAACCCCAGGAAGCGTCGATCCTCTTGGCAGCCTTGCAGCCCAGCCCTAACACAACCCCCCCTTGTCCCTGTGCCGTTGACATATCAGGGAAAGTCCGAGCAACAGATGAAGGATCTGGAGCTCAAGGAGCTCAAGAATGGCCGCCTGGCAATGGTAAGTCGCAGACAGTGCCCCGTGCACTCTCAGAGACGTGTTCGTAGACGCGACTGCTCTCTGCCAATTTTTCCAAGAGCATTGCCTTTTTTGAAAATTTTCATGGTCTCGTGATCCTCGTCTTCAACTTCGACGACAACCCTCTTGCATGGTTGCCCTCTGATTCGAACGTCCTCCGCCCCATTCCCATGTTCCTTCTGACTCCCCTCCCCCCTTGTCCTAACCCCCAACTCCCGGCCCCTCTTCAGATCGCCATCATCGGACTCATAGCCCAGACCGCCTACACGGGCATTCCCCTTTTCTCTTGAACGGGTCAAGGGCTAGGTCTTGAGAATTGGTAGGAAATTACATGTGTTGGGGGAGGAAAGATGACATCGAGCCCTTTGCCCATTGTCCAGTATGCATGACTGTGGAAGGGACAGCGCCGACTCCATCTCTTTATATACAACATTGTGGCGAGGGAGGATAGGGGACGGTCCTACAGTAGAGGCAGCATTCAATGCATGCGGGTTTCATTTCATTTCCAATTGATCGGCTCTCTCTAGTGCGCGCGCGTGTTTTCAGCTTTCTCCGGTTCTACTTGTAGCAGTATCTGTGGGACGTTCGTTACGATTTAGCGGATTCTTACGAGACATTTAAAATTCGAAACGGATTGATCCTTGCGAAGGATGAGTGGCGACGAAAACGGTTTTCTAACGCTTGCTATAACGCTTTGGTTTCCCCTTCCATTTTGGCACGTATTTCATCGAGCCCTTTCTACCCTTCGAGACGAATCGAGCAACCATAGATCGAGCAATAAAGTAAAGTGGTTGTGGATGCGGTGGGATCGAATTCTGTAACAACCTTCCTTTTGTTTGTCACATTGTTTGACTCCTGTTTGTCAGCCTCTGCGATCCCCTCCTTGCCTTTCTACCCCTCCTTCCCTGCGCAATCAGCAATATCATTCACGGCTCAGCACTCCCTGGGGAGCCTTCCAGGTCTCCTGTACGACGTGCTTTACTGGACCTTAGCCAGTTCGGCGCGCATGGCATCAATGGTGGCTTTGTAAGCGTCCTGCGTCCGCGGGTTCTTCAAGATCGCGCTTCCCGCCACAAAGAAATCTGCCCCCGCCTCCGCAATGTCCTTGATGTTCGCCACGCCCACACCGCCGTCCACCTCCAGACGAATGTCGTACCCGCTCTCGTCGATCATTTTACGTGCCTCCTTCAATTTTTTCAACGTCTCCGGAATAAAGGATTGGCCCCCAAAGCCCGGGTTCACGGACATGAGCAAAATGATGTCCACCTTGTCCAAGACATGCTGTGCCAGGGAGAGGGGAGTGGCCGGGTTAAAGACCAACCCAGATTTGCACCCCTTGCTCTTGATCAACTGCAGAGTCCGATCGATGTGATTGGTGGCTTCGGGGTGGAAAGTGATGAAAGAGGCGCCGGCATCCGCAAAATCAGGAATGATACGATCCACTGGTGAGACCATGAGATGTACGTCAATGGGTGCCGTGACGCCGTGGTCGCGGAGGGCTTTGCATACCATGGGGCCAATGGTCAAGTTAGGCACGTAGTGGTTATCCATCACGTCGAAATGCACAATGTCGGCCCCCGCCGCCAACACGTTGTCAACCTCTTGTCCAAGCTTGGCAAAGTCGGCAGAGAGAATGGATGGGGCAATCCAGAAGTCTTTCTTAGCAGCCATGGCCATGCGGCCGCGGGTGTATGAGCGGGGGACGGGGGGGACAAAACCGTGTGCTACGGTGGCGAGGGCTGCTACGCCGGCGCATGCGAGGAGAGAAAGACGAGCCATCCTTGGAAATGTGGAAGAAAGAAATTTGCAGAAAAATTGACAACTGTGCTCTGTGCGCGAATAATCATGTAATTTGTTGAGACCTGTGTGATGGTACGTTGCCAACTTCAGCAGGGCTTCATGGATCGGGTGGACGCTCAGCTGAAACCTCGTGACATGCATTGAGGCAATTCACACACCTGCCTACGACACAAAAGGGTCCAACATAAGATGCGTGATTTAATAATATATCCGCACTATCCAGAAGCTGTACGGTGGAATAATGGGCAATTTACTGCCAAGACATGGTGCTATACGGAAGGGGAGAAGGGGCATGACGGGGTTGGACACAAGATACACCTGGCGGAGGCGACCTAACGGACTTTTCCTTGGCTTTTTTTCCCCTTTTTATGGGTTTTCGAGGCATACCCACTTCGGAAGGGTAAATCATCGTTTGAAAAGCGGTCGCGTTTTGAAATGATGCGGTGGTCGTTTGAGGCAGTTTTTGGTCCTTTGCGGTTGCTGTCGAATGTCCATCATTCGTCCATTGTCTATTCCAAAGTAAACACCCCTCTCCCTAGATGGTTTTCAATAACGCTTGCGTTCCGGTCTTTTTACATTACTTGCTTTTTAAAACTTACAAAATGTCTTCCCATTCCTCCTCTCGCTCCTCTACTGCCTCTTCCTTCTCTTTGCCGTTCATTGCCCCTCCTTTCTTCCTTCCCCCGTCCTTATCATCCCCATCCACGTCCACCCTCCGCACTTGCATTCGGAACAACTCCGCTATTTGGCCTGCAGTCGTGGCGTCTTCCACTCCCTTATCGCTTCGTATCTTTAAAAATCTGGGAAACCTCAAGGAGAATCCTCGTTGGGCATCCACGATGCCCACCCCCGCCTTGTGGACTGGAGACAGGGTCAATTCTGCCCCGCGTACCTCCCACACTTGGCAAGGCTCGAACCACACCGCACATGTCTCTCCTGTCCTGACGTATGACTTGGGATTCTCCAACAAGCGGCCTTCTTCCTGGTAAAACGCGGTCAGCTCGGTGTACATGGCGTCCGTCAGCCCCGACATGCACCGACAAAGTGATTGAAGTTCATCGGTTTCGGGGTTAAAGCACGCGAGGAGGATGGGAGAAAACCAGCCTGCTTTGCGGCCATTGCCCCACCTTGGGAACGAACAAGAGAAAGGAGGGATGATGGGGGGAATAGGGTTCAGGAAAATGGTAACATAGCAATGCACCTTCATCTTCGTCACCGTTGATCTGCCAATATCACAGAGAGATGATGGAGCGAAGAAAGGCCAAAGACGGGTACAACGGCATGAGAAAAGGATGGGCGTGGTATACCCGGAACCGGACGAGAAAGCGACGTACCAGGCACCGATGGGGACGAGGTCGAGGGTGTCGTGCAGCCCCTCCACGTAGTCGCGCTTGACCTTGAGCCAGGAGTCCGTCCTTTTCGAGGGCTCGTATTCGTGGGGCAAAGACTTGCACTGCGGACAGATGGAGGAAAAGAAAGAAAGAAAATTAGACGGGGCGTGAGGGCTCATGTGGCAGTAGCACGACATTAGATTCCCTGACAAGCTCGAGTTGCCTCTAGCGGAGAGGAGGGATGAGGACGGAGGGATGAAGGAGGCGATACGGGGAGGGAGGAGGAGGGGGGGTCCGTAAAGTCCTCTGGACCCCAGCCTAGTTCGCTCCTACTTTTACTCCCACTCTTCTCACAGTGGATGTTTTCCCATATCTTGAGTCGTGCACATTCTACTTCCGCCTTCCCTCCTCCCCTCCATCTCAAACTCCCTCGCTTCTGACCATGATCCCCTCGCAGCCAGCCTCCAGTGCCTCGGTGAAAAATTCCTGGACCTTCTCGGGGTCATTCGTCTCCGTGTGTGCAGCAAACGCAAAGCGGCCTTCAAAGCCTCCCTCACTCCCTCCCTCCCCTCCCTCCAACAACGGCCCAAACAAGGAATAGAGACGAGCCCGGCGCGAGGAGAGCGGCTCCTTCACGTAAGATTGGCCGTTGAGGAAGAGGAGGTCAAAGGCAAAGACGCAGACTTGAACCCTCACGCCCTCCGCCGAGACGTCCTTGCTGGGTTCCCCGGGCGGGAAATCAGGAGGGAAAAAGGACCGTGAATGAGCGCAAAGGTCAGCCCCGTACGTCCACTCCTTTCCAAAACCCTCCCCCCCCCGGTCCATTCCTCTGCCAGCCCTTCCCTTCTTTGTACCCTCCTTCCCTCCCTCCCTCCCTCCCTCCCTCCCTCCCACGTCCCTCCTTGTCTTACCGGCCGCGCGTGGCCAAGGTCTGGAAGGCAAGGAGTCGGTTGCCCTCCGCTCGGTCCACAGCCACCAGCTCTGTGTCGAGTATGACGTCCTTCAGTAGCCAAGGAGAGGGGGAGGGCGAGGCGGAGGAGGAGGAGGAGAGCGGGAGGGAGGGCGCGCGCAGCGCCTCCTGAAGGTCGTGCATGAGCTGGGCTACATCCGGGTATTTGTCCGTCATGTCCTCGATGTGGCGGTTGAAGATCTTGACGGTACGGTCGCCAAGGAGGTGGATCTGAGCCCGTTGGCCGTCGTATTTGTACTCGCTCGTGAAGGGCTGCGAGCCGTACTTCTCCATCATCTCGGGGATGCCGCTGGGGGGAGGGAGAGAGGGAGGGAGGGAACAAATGAAATGAGCGAGGACGTGACCGTACCTATAAATTTCCCTGTCCTCTGGCTCGTCATTCCATACCCAACCATTGCTCCTCCCTCCCTCCCTCCCTCCCTCGCTCTTTCCCTCACTCCCTTCCACCTGCAAATTTTGGCCAGCATGGGCTTGACAGGGGTCCCCACGGCCACAGAACAGGCCGCCTGCATCGCTTCCACCCCTCCTTCAATCAGGGCTTGCACGATCCGGGGAATGTCGGGGCTGGGGGAGGGAGGGAGGGAGGGACGGAGGGAGGGAGGAAGGAAGGGAGAGAGAGTGGGGCATGAGGGGACGAAGGACGGGCCAACGGGGAGAATAGCCGAGTGACGCAGGGAGGAAAAAGGCAGAGAAAGAGGTAGGCAGGTACAGAGTGGGGGAGAGAAGAGGGGGTGGACCCTCACCAAGAGTTGTAGCATTCCTTCACTGCCACTTGAGCCTCTTTTAACCGGAGCTCCAAGGATTTCCTCCTCCTCCCGCCCTCTCCCTCCCCCCCGTCCTTCCTCATCGTTGCCTCCTTTTTCCCTGTCTCTTTTCCCTCCCCATCACCCGCGTCCCGACCCTCCTCTTTTCCGGTGTGATGCATGACCGCCGCCATCGCTAAAGCCGACAGGACGCTAGTTAAGGTGGCGCCGGTCCGAAGGTTTTGCACCAAGGTCCGAACTGGTAGGATGGAAGGGTAACCCGCCGGGGTAAGGGGATCAGATGGGGAAGAAGATAGGGAGGAGGGGAGGAGGGGGGGGAGGTGGGGTAGAAGGGGAGGGGAGGGGGGGAGGGAGGGAGGCCCACCTAAGAATCTGGCCTCCGGTCCCCGGCATGAGCGAATGAGGCGAACCATCATGGCCCGTTTCCGTCCTTCACAGCCTTGTCCTGTGACCAGAGGGGAAAAGGAAGCTGGTGGTAGGCTCGGAGAGGGAGGGAACGGGGGGAGGGAGGGAGGGAAGGAGGGCTTACCTTTCATGTTGGCCATGTCGACGATGGTGCGGTAGACCCCGCGGATGCTGAGGGGGCTGGGGGGAACGAGCATGCGCTGCCGGACGCGGAGGGCCTGAGCCACGTCGCCGAGGTCCCTAAGCAGGGTAGGGGGGGAGGAACGGACCGACGTGCGTGAGGGGCGGGGGGGGGGCAGGCAGTCGGGCTCCCACATGAATGGAAACGTCCCGCCCTCCCTTTCCACCCCCACCCCATGGCTTCACGTCGCTAAAAAGAGGAATCTCGTATTTACTGCATCCCCCGCGCTTGTGATTCTTCTGTCCTTCCCCTCTGGGCCCCTTACCCGAGCTCGATGTACAGCTGTTTGAGTTTCTCCGACGACGTGCCCGTGGCTTGAACCACGGCTGCCGAGACGGTGGATCCGCCCACATTGATGTCGATACCTTGAAAGGAGGAGCTCAGCTTGTTGCTGGAGAGGTAGACCGCTGGGAGGAGGTCGGAAGGCGCCAAGGCGATCAGGGACCGGAAGGTGTTCACGAGCACGTCGGCTTTTGTCAGCCGTTTGGTGGTCGAGCACAGGAGCTCGAACGCCCAGGCTAGGTGCAGGTACGGCGCGGGTGTCTTCTCGCTCCAGCAGGCGTCGGACACGGCGTCGTAACGCGTGCAGGGAAGATCGACGGGGCTGCCGGTGAGGGCACTGGCGGAGGGCGAGGAGGGGGCCGTGGAAGCAGGCGGTGGGGCAACGATGCCTTCGTCCCCCGGACTCGACCTGTTTCCTTCTGTATTTTCTAGATCTGGTAGGTCCTCCATGGCCTCTGTAAGATTTTGGGCCTGCGCTTGATCCTGGACTGCTCTGTCCTCCGTGTCGAGCTGCGGAAGTCGGACATTCTCTACCTCGGGCTTCTCACGGCTTCCCTCATCTTCCGAGGTAAGCAGCTCCACCATTTCTATCTCTCGCGGTCTATCAACGCGTTCGTTTGCGATGACATTCGCTGGGTTTGTTTTGAGGTCTGTTAAAAACTTTCCTTTAGACGACGCGGTAGCTTTACCTCCACTCCCCTCAGCAAAGAAAGCAGTAATGCTTGTCTGGTTGCCTGGAGAGGTAGCTGCAACTCTACTCTTCTTCCCTGCAGGGCTTTCAGTATTGATTTTTCCATTTTTAGCAGCATGACGTTTCTTCGGAGGCATGGTAAGCTGTGGATAAAGGGGCATACAGGAAAAAATGACATACCAGGGGGGTGGGGAGGTCCCTGTTTAAAGCAACGTCATCGTTGTGGCGGTGGCCGTCTACCTTGCGGAAAGACCCTCAAATGGTGCGTCTACATCCTTTCTACACTCCACACACATTACGTCACGTTTACATGCATTCTCCTCACTCATATGTCAGGTTGGGGCGTTCCGAGTTCTCGTATTTTCTGTCTCATCGCTTGTTGCAAAGACCATCGCTCGCTCACTTCTGTCTCCGTACTCCCAAACATCAATAAGCTCTTGTCTTACTTGGAACGCCATTGTAATAGATTCCATATATACAGCACCCCTTTTGCGTGCTTAAAAAATGGCAATGAGACGCGTTACAGCCCTTGTTACGGGTGCAGCATCAGGTTTGGGGAACGCCACTGCTCAGCGTTTTTTACAACAGGTCCGAATACGTTCCACGTATAAAAATGTTTACACATACCTAACGTATATATACGACTAGTAACTCTAATCGCGCTTTTTTTTATCGCAGGGCGCTCGTGTCATCCTAGCGGATCTGCCAACCAAAAACTCCGCCGCGCTTGCTTCTCTCCAAAGCCTGGAGGAAGAGGAACGCTCCCGAAGCGTTTTCGCAGGAGTCGATGTACGTTAAAAATACCTCCCACAGAATAAATGTGCAATCACTAATGCCTCCATTCTTCTTTTTCCGAAAATGTAGGTACTGGAAAGTTCTCTGGTCGCAGCTGGAGTCGACTCAGCCCTCTCCAACTGGGGCCAAAGCGTAAATGTGGTGGTAAACTGCGCAGGTATCGCTGTAGCTCAACGCGTGTTGGGCAAGCAGGGGCCCCATTCACTCGAAACGTTTCTGAAGGTAGGCAGGGAAACGGAGTCAAAGAGGTAAAGCATGGCTCTGACGCATGGCCACATATGCGTCCAAGTAGGGCTCGATGAATATGCAGGCTCCCCTTCTCCCTTTAGTGTTCCTTCGTTATCGCTCTCGTGCATGAAAAAGGCAGGCCATCTTAGATCGAAGTTCTATATCATTACATCCCGAAATCTCAACAGGTGTTGACGGTGAACGCTGGCGGCACTTTCAATGTGGCTCGTCTCGCCGCTGAAAGGCAAGGAGTATGTTTTTTTTATTCCCCAGTGCACTACCTTCACTCTCTTTCTCTCTTTATTCCCTCTAATCTCATTCTACTTCCGCGTCTAACCTACCCTCTGCTTTCTATTCTTTCGGGTGTAAAAACCGTTTTTCTTTACGTCAACGTACCACTCCAATTACGTCAGAATGCGCAAACTCCCTGCCGACGAGAATGGCATCCGAGGTGTGATCATCAATACCGCTAGTATCGCTGCATATGACGGACAGATTGGACAGACTGCCTACGCCGCCTCGAAAGCCGCTGTAGCTGGTCTTACACTTCCTCTAGCTCGTGACTTAGCCCGAGACGGGATCCGCGTCGTTTCTATCGCCCCTGGATTGTTTCGCACGCCAATGTTAGCGGCTCTTCCTGAACATGTGCAGACTGAATTGGGTCAGACTGTACCTTTACCGAAGCGTTTGGGAGACCCCATGGAGTTTGCTATGCTGGCACAGGCCGTAGTGGAAAATCCGATGATCAATGGGGAAGTGATTCGCTTGGATGGGGCATTGCGCATGCCTCCTTCCTGAAGATTTTTCGGTGTTTCTCGAAGCGCATGTGTGTTTTAATGTACATTATCACATGTT